GGTGGAGGAGGCGGAGGGGGGTGGGGACTGTCTGAGAAGCTCAGGCTGTCGGAAAAGAAGGGGTCGTCCTCTGGGTCTCTGACACACAGGAAACGCATCATCAGCCGGGGACAGCTAAGACACACGCCAACCCGCCACACATGAAGCACCTACTCGCTGTCCTCGCCACTCTCCGTCTGCCGCTCCTCCTGTGCCGAGTTACTCAGGTAACTCTGAGTGTGCAGGAAACTCAGCACCAGCACGTCCAAGACGTCCCTGTGAGGCTTCTGGAGCAGCTCCTCCACCAGGCAGAGCGACACCATGCTGATCTGAGGACACACAGACGTTGCTATGCTTCCCGTCTCTGCACTCTAGCTAGCTGCAGGTGTCAGCTCGAGTGGGCGTGCTCTCACCTGGTCAGAGATGTGGTCGCAGCGGCGCAGCAGCGGCTGAGCGGCGTCGCTCCGCAGCAGGAAGTGGACGAGCTGATCCAGCAGAGATGAGGACTGGACGAGCCTGACAGTGGCACAGAGGACGGAGGTGGAGCCCAGCACCACCTGCTCACACCTAAACACACACAAACACACACCTAAGATCTGATAGGACCCCCACTTCCTGTGAGGAGGATGACGATGGATGATGAAGGACTCACATGTCCAACAGCTGAGGCTGAAGAAGCTCCACCAACCAGAGCTGATGAACACACACAGCCAACTTCACTGACAACACCTGCAGACACACACAGAGTGAGGTGTGAGTGGGGATCAGATGATTGTGTTAGCATTAGCGATAGCTTAGCAGCAGTGTTAGCATTAGCCTAACCCCCTAACCCAGTCGGCCCACAGCCAGCCCACAGTCACAGTCCCTGCCAGGAGAGCGTCACACCTGGAGGACCTGAGACAAAGATTGCTCAGGTCATGAGTGTGGACAGCATGGCAGCAACTACCCACAAAGCACTGGCATCCCTGAGCATTATTAGCATTACTAGCAGCTGTGTACCTGTCATGGTAGTATTACCTGTGGTGCCTGTCTCATCAGGTGATCCAGGAAGTCCAGCCAGCAGAAGAAATTGATCATGTGACCCACAGACTGTGAGCTGGGGTCAGTGCTGAGGCGAGAGAACTGAGAGCTGAGGGGAAGAGGACATGCTGCAGTACACCAGTCTGCAGTACTGCATCGTGCACTACTGTGCGTGTGTGTGTTCTTACCTCCAGGGCGTGTGAGGCCAGCTCTGCAGCTCTGCAGCGTCCTCCATAGGCAGCAGGGAGTAGAGGTCCTGCAGCCTCACAGCCAGCAGCTCTCCCAGCTGGGTGTGAGTGCTCAGCAGCTCCCCTGAGGACCCAGCCTGCAGCCCGCAGAGCAGCAGGAGGCTCTCGTGGGCCTTCAGACACACGGACGTGCTCTGCGAAGGGACAGTGATGAAGCGCTCCGTCGTTAGTGCAACACACAGTGTCGCTGCCGCCGACTGCGATTGGTCAGAGCTCACAGTGCTGCGTGCTGACGTCTCTGCTCGTCAAAACTTTCTGCCATCTTTCATTTTCCAGTTATTCAGACGGCACCTGAATGCACCGCGAGATGTTCGGGTTACTGACCTGGCTCTTAGTGAGACCCAGCAGGGCCCTCAGCAGACAGCTCTCTGATTGGATGGGGCCGCAGGGCAGCGGAGGATCTGTCCCCCGACTGGATGCCTGCATGCTGCTCTCTGATTGGTCAGAGCTCAGTGTACTGCTTACTGGTTGGTCTGGAAGCTGAAAGCAAAGATAACAGTCATGTGATAATGAGCTCACATCACGTGACAGGAAGTGGACCTAAGACCTTCTGAGGTTACCTGTAAGACGTATCTGAGCGTGTGGGGATCCTGCTTCACTCTGGAGCAGACGACCAATAGGAACTGAGCTTCCTCCTTTTCAGTCTGGGAACCAGGAAGCGCACAGAGGCAAATCAGCTTCTATGGGGCGGAGCACATAGTGACATCGTCAGCACAGGCAGTGGTAGACAGAAAGTGAAGAAAGGTTAGCTTTATTGGGAAGATTTAAATAAGCAGCTTGAGCTGCAGTGTCCTCAGGTGTCCTCAGGTGTCCTCAGGTATCCAGGCTTCAGGGCTGTCCCCTGTGGGCTGTCCCCCAGGTGGCTGAGAGATAAAACGCTGCCTTGTTTCCTCTGTGCTGTGCTCAGGTGGAGCGTCTCACCTGCCTACGCTCTGACGACCTCACTACACTGTCTGTAACCTAAACTTCCTGCTGTGTGCGTGTCACTGTAAGCCGTGTGAGGACTGACAGGTACAGACGAGCCTCTGCAGTGTAGATGTTCCACCTGGTTTACCTGCACAGGTCTGTAGACGTTCACCAGCTGCAGCAGAGGCTTCTGCACCTGAGACAGGAGCTTGGAGAAGAAGAGGAGCACCTGCTGGGACATCCCTGGAGGATACTGAGAGAGGACAGAAGCGTTACAGTGTTAGCTCACAGTTCACCGCGTTTCTGCTCTGAAGCTAAAACTGGATTCAGCACAGAGACCCTCACCTGGAGACAGGTGTTCCTACAGACTGTAAACAAACAATGGCTGCTTCGGACTAAATCTGCAGTCTTTGTAAAGCAGACTATTCTTGCTGTAAAACCTGATCTCTGAGCTCTAAATCAGGACTTCACCAGCCGATGTCACAATGTCTGCTTCCATCGTTCATATACAGTCTGTGGGTTACACAGGAAAGATCCACCAATCAGAGCTGTGAGCTCCCAGCGCTACAGGCCATAAAACTTGACCACGCAGCTCAGTCTCAGTGCCAGGTACTAAAACAGGAAGTAAACAGCGAGCTGTTCCTCTAAGATGTGCAGGCTAGCCTTTCAGACAGGAAGTGACCTCATCAACCTGAACATTTATGACTGAAGAGCAGGATCATCATCATCATCCTAGCCTGCAGCTTTCACTGTATCAGTGAGTGTGCGCAGCCCTGAAGGGGGCACTGCAGCACCGTTACCTGAGCCTTCCCCAGTGTGCACAGAGTCTCCAACAGCTTGTGCTGCAGCAGGTACTCCATACAGGCTCCTGTGTCCTCCACGGCCTGATCAATACAGACAGGACAGTCAATACTCTGATGGATATGCTGATCAATACAGAGTCACACTGACGCACCTGCTGCTTCTCCTCGTACACCAGGATGTCCAACATCTGTCTGAGATGCCAGGGGATGTCCGTCTGTCTGACAGGACGACTGTCATCTACACACACACACACACACACACACACACACACACAGCAGAGGAATTCAATTGGCTGGTTGTGTGGCTGTGGTAACAACTAGCTGCAGGTTAAAGAGCCTCACCTGTCGTATCGATATAATAATTGGTGATTGATTTCCAGTGATCGACAAACGAGTCAAACAGCTCCACCGTGGGCTCCCTCTGACAGACAGGTGAGATGTGAGGCGGAGTCAAAATGAGTTTTTTAAGAATACTTAACAGACAGGAAGTCCAGAAAAAGCCACAGAGATGTGGTGTTTAGAAAAACTGTGTCTCAGCTGTTGTCCCCCATTATGGATGGAGATCTCACAGTCCAAGAAGGCTAACCAAGACCTTGGTGGTGTTGGACAGCAAAGCCCTGTTTTCCACTTCCTCCATGTACAAGTTGGACACACTGGGTGACACTGGGCAACCCATGGCACACCCATGTTTCTACCTGGAGCACCTTGTATGTGAAACATGTGGAATGAAGACACAGTTCCAAGAGCAAACACATGTCAGCTGAGACTGAAGAAGTCACCCGGACGATGACAAAACGTTTCTCCCACTGAAACGCTACGTCCAGATGAAGATTTGGGGGGGCATTTCTTTACCTGGATCATTAAGCATGCATCAAGCCAGGGAACCAATCAGAGTGCTTCATCAGCCCTGACCTAAACCAGCTGAGTACAGATCCATAAAGCTGATCGATGCCTTCATGTTCTCTGTACTCACTGGTTGCTTTGCCTTCAAATGGCCTGGTTCCGATATAGATCAGAACTTGTTGGCTGAATCAGCCAATTACAAGTGAGCTCCTGTCAGCCCCTCCCACGGCGGCTGACATCACAGCTCTGAGCACAGCAGCTTCTGTTTTGGTTCCAGCAGCTGTAGAACTTCATGTCCTGACCAGGTCACCTGTCTCGATCAGTTCACTAGGTTTATTTATAAAGCTGGTTTTAATTGATTTTAAAAAGCTTTACTGGTATACTCATTAGGTGACAGTGGAGTACAGTAACAGCTGGCACACATACCTGTCTGTCCTGTCTCTACCTGTGCGAGTTCCTGAGCCCTGACACAAACCTATCTCCAGCAGGTAAACACGTAAACACCTGGAGTACTCTGAAGCTAACGTTAGCACCTGTTAGCTTCTGTGTTTATGTGTCGGTGACAGCAGATTGGTCAGGGTCAGCAGTGACAAACAGCTCATCCGAGTGACTAACTTTGTCCAACTTTTCACGGAGCTAACAGCAGCTAACTAACTGCTAACTCACCGTCTCCAGCGCGTGCAGCAGCATGCTCGTGAACCTGCCGAACGTCTCCATTTTCCCGCCTAAACCGAGCGACCCCAGCCGACCGTCAGCCCGATTATTCCCGTTTATTCCCGGTTTTCTGCGACATGTCGACCAGCTGTGCTAACAGCTGAGCGCTCCGTGTCAACCGGAAACCTCCACGTAAACACATCCGATCTGAACTTTCACAATAAGACAAGGCCGTCAACGTAACGTATGCTGAGATTTCAGAATAAGAGCTTCAATTGACTATTTATGACACAACAGTGGTGAGTGTTCCCACCTTCTGCTCTTTGTAACTTAACGCCATCTTTCCGTTTTCGAGTTTTGGACATCAATTTTGGAGTATATCTTCTTCTATATCTTCTCTTCTACAACCCCACATCCGGTCTCAAACCAGGAAGTTAGCATTTTCTCGTGCACAGGGTCAATAATAGTTAAAAACAATCAATTTGAGAGTCGTCGGCTGTAATTAGTTTTAGTAATCAAATTAATTCTAAAAAAGTTCAGCATTAAAGTCAGTGTTAGAAAGCATGATGACCTGCCTCTATCAGTCAGACAGTCTGCCGTGAACTTTCAGTTACATACGAAATTTTAAGGAATCACTGATTATTGTGTGAACATCGTAAATAAAATATGTTTAGTTATAAATAAAGTTTTTGAGTAGTTTGAATTCCGATTTCGTCACAGGTCACATGTGGATCAATCAGAGACACGCTTCTAATGCATTCTGTTCATTTCTGTATGAAAACATGCAGAAGACTACAACGACCTAATTGCACCTGGAGCCGCACGGACAGCATCAGAGGGACGCTCAGCTGGTCTGAGCATGTGCATCATCACAGGTGAGGTGAGGGAGGGGCTTCCGAGGTAAAAGGCGCTGCAGCCCCGCCCTCTTCTATCAGAGAGTCAGGTGGAGCTCAGCGAGGACGTTCAGGTGAGTTTCTGTGACATCATTTCGAGCCTGTCATCAAGGTGATGTTTGTTTTTCCGCAGAAGCTCTTCATCCTCCTCATCTTCTCCACAGTCAGTCTTGCTTCTCAGTAACTGCTCAGGTGTGTTTCCTCTGTGCTCGTTACCTGTGATCAATGAGGAGGCATTTGCTGTCTGTCGGGTTTTCCTCCTCCTGCTTTCAAACTTCTTGATTTCAAATGTTTAAATATAGAAAACCTTCTTCACTTACGGTTTCTGTGAATGCCGCAGAGGTGAGATGAACACACACACACACACACACACCATGCTAAAACATGCATGTCAAAACCAACTGTGTGTGTTGATGCAACCTGAACAGGTTGAAACTTGATAGATGTTTTCATACAGCCTCAGGGTTGGACGACCCGTGAGCTGTCAGGTGTGTTAGCTCATGTTTGCAGGTGTGTCAGAATTGGCACAGGTGTGTGTTTGGCTGTGTCCCAATTCAGGGTCTGCAGCCTTAAAGGCCGCATTTTAAGGCCGATTACGTCACCGCGACGCGACGAAGGCTGTCCCAATTCGAAGGCTGCTCG